ATATAATTATTTTTTTTACATAAAAAAAAATAAGAAACTTAAGTGCTTAAAGGAAACGTTTACCCAAAAATGAAAATTCTGTCAACATTTGCGCCCCCTAATGTTACGTGGAATGCTCTTCTCTTTACAATGAAAGAATGCATCAGCTCCAAATATAAAAACTCTGCTGTACCTGAAAAAGTTGATTTATTAGTTTTATTACTCTTGTTCAAAACTCACAGAAAACCAAATGGGCACCAGTTGTCATGACAACAAAAATGTTTATGGAAGCCTATGGATACCTGTGAGATCCATAGTAGAGCAAATCCATTGTTGAATGAATTAATTTTTTTTTTCTTTATATAGCACCTTTCCAAGTCATTTATGGTCCAAGTCACTTTAAAAAAGGAGCAAATATACATCAAGAAAATAAACAGATATACAAAACAAACAAACAGAGTCCTCAATTAATTGATAAAGTTGTCAGCATACACTGGAACTGACAAGCAAAGGAGGTAAAAGCTTATTTTATTTGGCCACAATTGAATAAAAACATATTTTTTAACATTTATTTTTGTGTCCCATGGAATAAAGTAAGCCATGGGGGTTTGGAAGGACACAAAAGTGATTAAATGATAACAGAATTTTCACATTTTGGTGAACTATTCCTTTAATCCAGGTGTGAATCACATCAAGTGTAGTCCTGTGCACTGTGCAGAACTGATGTAGAGAGAAACTTAAATATTTGAGACAGAGTCAAGACAAAGGCCAAAGTTAATGGGACTTGTCAATATAGGAAGGAATTCTAAAAGCCCTTCCAGTTTAAGAACTCGCGACCTAATCACGCTCTGTAGTAAAATAAAGCTCTGCCTTACTCTTTATTATTCATCAGAATCATAGCTTCTGTCAGTCACAACCAGGCTACCAGATTTGACTTGTCATAAAAAATGCCCTTTATATTCTTGGCCTTTTAATTATACATTACTGAGTCTCTTTATTTATTGAATAGCGCTGATCCTGCATTGAGCCTGAAGGCAGTCTTCTTTCTCCTGCACGCTCTCTCTCTCTGTGCCTAATTTCCCGCTGCCCCCCATTCTGCTTTTCAGCTCAAAATCCTTCACACGGAAGTAGAGAGCTATTGGTGTGGACAACAACAGAAATGGAAAGGAGGGTGATTTTGGTATCAGAGTGAGAGAGAAAGAAAGTGGAGGAGAGAAATAGGCGGAAGTGGAACAGAGATGTGTGAAGGGTTATTCTCTGGAGTGTGACGAAAAGTAGAGGGGAAATAGTGAATCAGAGTCAAAGGAGAGAGACTGAAAGAGGAAGAGGGGAAGAAAAGACTAAGAAAATGAGAAGGATAAAATCGATAGGCAATTGAAATGCTTTTTAGTGTGATATTCCCTCTTTTTCATCAAACTATTGGTGCTGGTGCCAAGCCCAGTGTTTGGCTGTTGATTATAATGTTAGTGAACAAGTTTTGTGTAACTGTTTTGTTTTGGCTTCTGATGTTGTAATTTCTTCAACAGAAACGCACTGAATGATGCCAAACTGGTCACCGGGTAAGGCACCTGCACCTTGGAAATAGCTGCACCCAGACTAAAACACTGACCAAAAACAAAACATTCAGGAACCAAATTACTTTTTTTAGTTTACAGAATTGTTCGAAACAGATGGTTGCTCATGGTGTCATCCATATTCATCTACTGATTAATTATTAGAATCCAAAAATCAGCTAGTGTGTGGAACAGTTGCAGTAGATTATAGTGCAGTTCTAAAATCAATATTAAATTTGAAATCTACATTTATTGTCTAAAGTTAAAATTGAATGCAGCTTCTTTAACCCTCTGCTTGTTAAATGTTTTTTTTTTTAAATGTTGTTAAATGTTTTTTGTTAGAAGTAGGTAAAATTAGCATTAGTGACTGCCAATACATGTCACAATACAGTATGTCAGTGTGTATGAAATATGGTACTCATTGCTTTTGTAGGGTATCAGACCGAAACAGACAATTTAAGATTTGATAAAGAACAGTTGAAACACGAGGAGCCGAATTCCACAGAGAGGCCCAAGACACAGGATGTTCGTAAATCAGATCCTGGCGCCACAAGCCTGAACCAACTAGCAGCTTTGAGTAGCTCACAGCATTTAAACAAAAGAACACTTATTGACAATTCCAAGGAGATTGTCAATTTTGGGGCAAGTAATCAAGATTAATGGTCAGAGATGCACAGCATGACCATCACATGTAAACCAGTGATGATGACGAGCTCTTTGGATTGACTTCCCCCACCTCGACGACAAAGAACAGACTGAGATTCCTTAAAGACCTTTTAACCTCTGGTCTTCACAGAAACTGCCTTTCCATGCACCTAAATGACACTAACAGCTCCTCCAAAACCATGAGGAGAAACGCCACCTAGTCTCGTCAAACTTTACTTATATTTCTTTACTTTAGTTTCTTTTATTTTCCGTTGAGACTTTCGTATTCTGAGTTAAGTTTTGCCTAACGCCGTGTCTCGGAGTCCGACCTCGAGTGCCTTCTAAAACTTTAACCAGACCACAACTCCGCGTCGTCAGCCAACGCCCAACCACTGGCTTCCCAAGACTGAACTTCCAGCCAATCAGCAA